GTAATGGTTGTGCTAATGGTGGTGATGATGGTGGTAACTGTGGTGGTCATTGTAGTGGTGATGGTGGTAATGGTGGTGGTGGTGGTGGCAGTAACAGTGAAAGAAAAAGTGAGGGAGATAATGGTGGTAATGATAATAGTGGTGGTGATAGTAACAGTAAAGGAGAATGTGAGGGAGGTGGTGATGGTGATGGTAGTAGGGGTAATAGTATTAGTGGTGGTGGTAATAGGGGTAATGGTGGTAGTGACAGTGAAGAGGAAGGTGGGGAAAGGAATACTGGTACTGGTGGTGGTGATAATGGCAATGGTGGTAAGAGTGAAGGGGAAGGTGAGGGAGGTAATGGTGGAGGTAGTGAAAGTGGTTGTTGTGATGATAGTAGTGCTAATGGTGGTGGTAGTGGTGGTGATGGTATTGGTGGTAATGGTGGTGGTAATGGAGAAGGTAGTGGTGCTAGTGATGGGGAAGGTAAGAGAGTATTATGATTTGAATCTTGAGTGTGTGTTATGCTAATGGCTTTGTCCTCAGCCTGTGGCACCATTAGGAGTGGTGGAAACTTCAGGAGGTGGAAACAAATGAAAGGAAGTTATGTCATTGGGGTGGTGCCCGTTAGGAGGATATTAGGACTTCTCTCTTTGCTTCCCAGTTGCCATGAAGTGAGTAGTTTTGATCCATCATTGACTCCTTACCACTTGTCACAGGCCAAGCAATGTAACCAAGCAACTTTTATTTACCCTGTGCCACTGTATCTTGGAAGTATGTATCTTGTTTTCTTGGGTTTTGTTTTGTTTTGTTTTGTTTTTTGTTTTTTGTTTTAAAGGTGCTCACAGCTAGAGGTTGCCTTGAGTCTCTGAGGAGACTTTGGACTTGAACTTTTTGAGCAATGATGGAACTGTTGAAACTTTGGGGACTCTTGGAAATGGACTAAATGCATTTTTAATTATTAGATGGGCATGAGCCTTTAGGGGCTGGGGTAGAATGTTATGGTTTGGATCTTAGGAGATGGGGACTTGTAGAAAGAATTTAAATCCCCAGGGTCATGAGAGGGATGTTGGCACTCTGGCCCCTCCTCTCTCTTGGCTTCCCAGATTCCATGAGAGACACAGAACCCCACCACACACTTCCACCATGATGCTCTATCTTGCCACACTCCCAAAGCAACAGGGCCAAGCAACCATGCACTGAAACTTTTCTGCCTTCTAAGTTTTTTTATATCAGGTATTTTGTCATCACATGGAAAGCTGACTAAACAGGAAAGTGATGGTGGTAGTAATGGTGTACTGGTGATTGTTCTGGTGGTAATAGTGTTGGTAATGCTGATGATAATAGAGATAGTGAAGGGGAAGGTGAGGAAGGTGATAGTGGTAGAGACGGTAGTGATGACTGAGGCACTGGTGGGAATAGAGAAGGGGAAATTGAGGGTGATGTTGGGGGTGGTGATTAAAGAGGTAGTATAGTGGTATAGTGGTGGTGGCGGCGGTGATGGTGGTATTATTGGCAGTGACAATGGTGATAATAGGGACTGTAATATAGAAGGTGGTAATGGTGGTGATCATGAAAGTGTTAAGGTAGTAATGGAGGTGGCCATGACAATGAAGGGGAGGTAAGGGAAGTAATGACGGTGTGAGGATTGGTGATGGGGGAGGTGATAGTGGTTGTGGGGGTGATGTTGGTAGTGATGGTAATGATGGTGATGGTGAAAAAGTAGGTGATAATGGAGGCAATAGTAGCAGAAGTGGTGGTGTCAACGATGGTGGTGGTGATGAATACTATGGCTCATTTTCTCTAAGACCTTGCTTTACAGACCAGATTTCACTAACAAAAGTGCCATCCATGCTCAGGCTAAGGAGCCCAGCCTGGCCTAGGGGCTTTGGGCTTATGGCAGAACCAGCCATGGCCACTGTTAAGTGTTCCCATTTGAGAGATCAGGAGGAGACTGAGCAGCCTTCAACAAAACGGTGCTGGTTACAGGGTTAATCATTCAGGCTATAGTTGCCAATCCTGATCAAGGCCTTTGATTCACATAGCTCCCCCAAAGCAGTACATCTATCACAAGGTGCCTACCCAAGCCTGACCTCCAGGGCAGAGCCTACGGCTCTGATCCTTACTTTGTCCCCCTATAAGATGTGACCATCCCAAGCCCATTTTCTGAGAGCTTGATGCCAATCTGAGTGACTGCTGAATTGTCTCACCATATCCATTTGTCCCAGTCCTCAAAACTATCCACTCTAATTCAAAGTAATGGCACACATGATGGAATTTTACACAAAAGTAGATGGCCTAGGTATTTTTTGAGAATTTTCTGTGAGGAAGAACATTTCTGAGTGCATTAAAATCTCACCTTACCAACTTCTTGGAATCTACCTATCAACTACAAGAGAGAATAGTAGGTCAAATGTCCTGGGAAAAGGACAGACAGCTCCAAGCACTGGACTGAGTAATGGAAAGAGCAGTAAACAAAGACAGACAAAGATAGATGGGGGCCCAACTCTCATGGAGATGGTGGTCTAGAGCAGGGATCCTGTGGGTCAAATCTGGCCCCCTGCCTGGACTTGTAAATACAGTTTGATTGAAAAACAATCACATCCACTTATTTACAAGTTGGTTGCTTTCCTGCTCCAATAGCAGAGTTGAATAGTTGTGACAAAGGCCATATGGCCCACAAAGCCGAAAATATTTACCTTCTAACCCTTAACAGAAAGAGTTTACCCACCCTGGTCTAGAGGAACAGCTTATCTGCAAATGGTAATAATGGAATCTCACTGGTGATCGAGAAACAGGCTGAAGAGGGACTTTGGATGATCAGGCCCAGTATGACTATGACACCAGAAATGCCCCCACAGACAAAGGAAGGGGCTGGGGACAACTGGAGGCTCTCCACGGCCACGGCCAGCTGAGCCCATGGCTCTTCTGTCTCTCCTGAATGGCTGACTGGGAGAAGTAAATCTTACAGCATGGCCAATCAGAGGGGAGACCCAGGCCCAGGGTCACATAATAAGACCAGCACAGAGCCCTCGGAGAACCCGGGGCTCCTGACTCCCAACACAAATGTGAACCCTGTGTCATAGAAGGAAATGTCATCAACCCACCTACATCCTTCCTAGCGGAATAACTGTGCCATGAATCATCTTCTGAGGAGAAGGACTGGCCCCAAGGAAAATCTATACAGTGAGTCAGGGAGAGTCAGCGGAAAGCGGGGGCCACCTGCATCATGCCAGCTCTTACCAGGACAACTGCTGGGGGCTCGCCCAGAGGTCTGCAAACAACAGGAAGAGCGTCAAGACTGAGATCTTGATGCCAATCTGAGTGACTGCATCAAGTCACTGGACACCTGGCATGAGACCAAAGGGCAGAGTGTTGGGGACAGAGGAGCCACGTGTGGTCCCCATGCTGGGAGGAAACCAAGGTGCTTGGGAGAGGGAAGCACAGGGCTTCAAGGACCACCTCCTGGCTCCCAGCTCCCAAGGACGTAATCCCAGGGAAGGAAGTCCCTGTGTATCGAGGTCAGAGCCTGAAGCCTTTGTTTACAGAGCTGGGTGGACAATGGGAGTGAACCCTGAGCAGTCTCTGCACCCACAAATCTGGGTAGGTGTGATTTGTGCTGTTGAGATGTTCCATCAAAATACAGTGATGTCAGAAACGGTGTCTCCCCAAAACCTGTTCCCCCAGCCTAACCATAGGAAAACCATCAGGCTGATCCCAGTAGAAGGCCATCCTGTGACATTCCTGATTGGAACTCCTCAAAACCATCAACGTCCACCAAATACAATGAATGTCCGAGAAACCATCGCAGCCAAAAAGAGCTCCAAGAAACACCATGACTAAATGTGGCGCAATATCCTCAACAGGATCCTGAAACAGAAAAAGGACATTGGGTAAAAACCAAGGCAATCTAAATAAATGTATTAGCTCTAGTTCATAATCCTGCATCAGTATTGGTTCCTTTATTATGAACTGTACCACATTCACCTAAGATGTTGACATTAGGGGCCAAGGGGAGCAGCTGACTGGAGTTCTATAGAATAGCTTCTCCCTTTTCCTGGAAATCTAAAAACTCTTTCAAAAACTGAAAACTATTTAAGAAAAATTCGGAGGAAGGAAACAGAAATTTGCATGCACACGAAATCTCATGCATCCTTCTAATCCCCAGCTGACTTGTTCCTCTTTCCTGTCTGCTGGGTTCTCAGGCATCCACCAGGGACCCAGTTTGAAGACTGCCATCTTATCCTAACCTGAGCAGCTCCCTCAGAGCCCCAGACGGTCCCTTCTCCTTGAGTCCCCACTGTCACAAGACCCTGGTTACAGAGCTCAGAGGAGGCTTCTTGCCCTCTCCAGCTGTTCGTCATGTCCTAGCTCCTGGACCTTAGGAACCTTCCCAGGGACCCACCTGTCACTGCCCACCCCAGCCCTGCTCCAGGATGATTGTCGTCAGCTGCTGCTGCAGCCTCCCCCTCCCACTGCCCACCAGAGGGAAAGGGTCCTCTCTCCCTATCTGCACTCCGTCACCTTCCAGACTCTTCTCTATACACTGCCAGATGTCACTGCTCTCACCAAGGACTTCAGTGACTATACAGCTGGTAAATGCTAGGGACACCTTGAAGACTTCATGGGATTGGACCACACCTTCTTGAATCTCCCTCTTCTCTCCTGAGGCCCCACAAGCTCTCAGTTTTCCGGCCTTCCTGATGAGTCCTCCTCGGACACATTCCAAGGCCCTTGCTCCATCTGACCCTTAAGGGCTGTCCTTCCTTGGAGTTCCAGTCCCTGAGGATTTGAGCCTCAGCCCTGAGAGCCAGCATAGGTTTGTGTTATCCCTGTGTGCCTACATAGGGCCTGACACCTTGTAGCCATCCAATTTTATATTTTTTACATTTAAATTCAAATTCTATTTTCTGGACTTTCTAACATTCCAGAAGAGTACCATTTTACGTGCATACATACTACCTAGTCTTGTGGTGCTGATTTTCTCTAAGATTCTATAAATGGAATGTTCAGCCCTTCTAAACTTCTAATTATATCCTTTAATTTGCGGATGTATCATTAATAATAACTGTCATTTATTGAGAGCTCTGTTCTGTGCAAGATACTTGACCCACACTATTTTCCAAATCAAATTCTTTGGTACACTAACAGCACGTGTTATAAGAAAAATGGTTCAATGGTTTAAGGGGTGCAGGAAATCCTGAATTTAACAAAGTTCATGGGAGTTCTTTTCTCCAGGACTGGACATTGAAAACCCCCAAGAAGAGAACTTTTTATGTGCCATTCCAAAACTGAATTGACTGGGGATCAGTGGAGGGCTGATAACTATTTGAAACTGGCTCTTCAGAGGAAAAGGACCCGATTGTGTAGCATTTGCCAATTTCCGTGGTGTAAAAGCTTTCAGCAAAGTGATTTAGTTACCAACACGATAACACAGAGTTGGGAGAAGGCCTACATGGACATGTCCTTTCTCAGTATTCCCACCACACTCATACAAAAGACACACCTAATCTCAAGAACATACTAAAATAATTAGGAAGTGATAAATTCTGAGTATTTGTGGTCTTTATTTTGAATATGATTTATTTAATGGTAAGTCTATAAGATTTCGTTTTTTAACAATGGCTGTGTTTAACAGTCGGCTCACAAATATTTCTGAACATTTAAGCTGATGCTCAAAAGCCATGGGCAAAGGAGGAGGTTTCCCGGGACTCACTTTCAAAAGGGTGCTCTACTCACGAGGGCAAGTCAACCTCAGAAGCAGCAGCAGCCACATTTTACAGATGAGGTCATCCCAAGTCATTGAGGTTAGGTGTCTTCTAAGGGGCAAAAGTACTCTTTGGCTTCTAATTCACCAAATTCTTTCACTCAAAAAGCTACCTCCTAAGCCCCTACTGTGCCCTCAGCACCATTTTTGGTGATTGGGCTCTGCTAAGCAACTTACACCAGCTGGTGTTTGCAGTGACCTGGCTGAGAATAACCAGTAGTGGAGGTTCTTGTTAAAAACCTCAGTGTCACAGTTAGGATCTCTGACCAGCACCTACATACACACATGAATACACACGCATGCGTGCACATGAGCACAGACCTGCACACATACTTACTCACATGCAGATGCCTACATGTGCACGCTCCTGTGTGCACACACTCTGTACATGAACACACATGTGTACATATACCCAACCACCACTGCTCTTCCCCCCAGCTCATATTCTGTTCCTTCCTAGATCAAATCTAGCGTGAATCGCAAGAACACCAAGTATGTGCTCCAAGGAGACTCCGCTGGCAAGGTCTTCCGGGTCAATGCAGAGACAGGGGACGTGTATGCTTTTGAGAGACTGGACCGGGAGAAAGTCACCGAATACAAGCTCACTGCCCTCATTGTAGACAAGGAAACCAACAATAACCTGGAACCTCCTTCCAGCTTCACTATCAAAGTTCATGATGTAAATGACAACTGGCCTGTGTTCACGCACCGGTTGTTCAACGCATCTGTGCCTGAGATGTCAGCTGTGGGTATGTGCCCAATCTGTCTCTCTCCCTCCTTCTTCCCTCCTCCCCAGGCTGAGGCTCCTGTCATATCAGCCATTTCACTGTCATGATCAGGATGAAGTGGGTTCAGGGCAGAAGTTATAATTGTCACTTTATATGATTTGAAAGAACTGATCCTTAAAGGCTACACTATGACCTGGCCCCAGCCTGAGTTCTGATCAGTCACAGACTGATCCCTGATCCCAGCCATGGGCTGAGCCCTGGCCATCAGAGACACACATATGTCTTACTACTCTTTGGAACACATACTACCCACTGCCTCTGAACCCCAGGACTGACACACCAAGAGTGTGTGACAGGCTCTGTCACCAAAGTAAGAAGAATCATCTCTAGGGGTCATGTAGGAGCGGAGGTGGGGGACAGAAATCTGGACCCAAAGTGTGTCACCAGCCTAAGAAGGTCACTATTCCTTCCTCAGTCCTGTCCCAGTGTCCAGAAGGTGCCAGGAAAGAGCTTTCCTCTCTACCCACTCAGTCCGGGATCCCCAATCAGAGCCCTGGGGGCAGAACTTCCTGTTAAGTGTGAGGTCCCTGAAATTCAAGGGGATGAGAAATGTGTCACCACTCCTTTGTGTGCATTCCCAGTCCCTTGTTCTCACTTTTTTTCAGGAGAGGGAGAAGCAGCCGTTGCTCTCCTGGGCTTCTACTCCTGACCCTGATTTCTCCCCTCAAGGCACAAACACCTATGCTCTTGGCCCCCTCCAGGTTGGCCTGGGTGGGTCCCAGCCCTTTGTCCTGAGTCAGGCTCCTCAGAAAACAAAGCAGGCTTCCCCAACCCCCTGCCCATGGGGACAGAGGAACAACAGAATCACATCTGCCCTCACCCAGGAATGGAGAGAGGGGCCATTGTCACGAGACAGAAACCCCCGAATTCTCTCTCCACAGGAACCTCGGTCACGCGTGTGACGGCAGTGGATGCAGATGACCCCACGGTGTCAGACCATGCCACCGTCACGTACCAAGTCCTGAAGGGGGAAGAGTATTTTGCCATCGATAATTCTGGTCTGTGTGATGAACCCTCCTGGGCAGGCACCAGCTTGGGGGAGTAGGGGACATGAATGTTCTGGGTACAGATACTGAGGGAAGTCCAGCCTGACGTATGTCAACAACTACTAAACAGCACTATCCCATGGAATTGATTGATAGCCTGCAGAAAGATAAAGTATAGATGGTATTTATGGGGGAAGGAAGCCTATAGGTACCCAAGACATGGGCTCAAACCCAGGGGACCTCAGGATCTTGGTACCCAAGCAGTGAGCAAGAGGCAGCAGAGAGTGCTGGTTAACAGTTCTTTGGACAGCTTCAAATAGATCTGACCTGCGTTCCAAACTCAGCTACTTCCCTTCTCTAGAGACCCTGGATAAGACTACTAACCTCTGGAAGTCTTACTCCCCTCATCCAGAAAATAGGACTGCTCATCATCACCTATGATAGCCACAAAGCTGGAGTTAGATAAATCTAGGGAGAGCATAGCCACATAGCGTTTCATGAATTTTTAAAAGAAAAAAGCTTTAGACAAATTTAATTTAACAGAGTTAAATTGAGGGAAAAAAAATTCACAAATCAGGCAATCCCAGAATCAAAATAGGATTGGAGAAACTCCAGGTCTGGATAACATTTATGGACAAAGAAAGGAAAGTAATATTCAGAAAACAGAAGTGAGGCCCAGAAAAAGCTAGACTGGTTACAGCTCAAACATTTGAACATCTGGCAGCCTGGGATTGACCGAAGCACATTTAGGTTTCAATTCATTTACATGCTAAGTTAGATTGCATTTCGTTACATAAGGACCTAAATATGCAAGTACAGAGGAATTCTCAGGTCAAACTTAGTTTGATTTAACAGATTTAAAAAAAAAAAAAAAACAGTAAAGACTGAATCTTGGGAGCAAGAAGGCCAGTTGTTCGGGCTGCTCCAGTGTCTTTCAGAGTAATAATAAATACATAGCAGACACCAACACTGCCCTATGGTGTACCAAGGCAGACATCATTAATCCATCACAGAACGCTTCCACATTGAGCCTGCATGTGGCCTCATGGTATTTCTCAACACAATGCTCCAGCTGGCTAGACCAATATTAGACCATCCTGTTTGGTCATTTTTAATGGAGCAGGGGTAGGACACAAAATAGTAGCCTGTAGACACATGGTTCTCAGCCTGGCTGAACAGTAGAATCACCTATAGGTTCTCTACATACAGCCCAGACATCTGTATTTTCTCAAAGTTCCTCCAGTAACATGACTCTTGGGGCTACTTTTTGCAGGACTCATTTTCACCACAAACAAAAACTTGGACCGAGAGAAGCAGGCCAGGTACGAGATCGTGGTAGAGGCCCGAGATGCCCAGGGCCTCCAGGGAGAATCAGGCACAGCCACCGTGCTAATCACTCTGCAAGACGTCAATGACAACTTCCCCATCTTCACTCAGAGTGAGCCCCTCCCTAGGGCCCTGTGTGTGTGTGTGGGGGGGGGGGGGATACTCAGTGACTTGGGAACTCTGAGGGAGGTGTCCCAAATTCCTCCACCTCTCCCCCAACCCCAGGTGGGCCTAAAACCCAGAGAAGATGTTTGGGTGCAAGATGGGTCCTGCTCCACACTCCCAAGGCTGTCCAGCTGCCCCTGGTGATGGTCTCCTCATAGACCAGAGGGAAATCACAGGCCCTGCTAGATGTGATCACTGTGCATAGGGTCCCATTAGGACATAGGAGCAATTTCACTCAGATCCCATGGGCTCAGGAGAACCCAGACCCTGAGACTCGGCCCCAGCTAGAAAATCCCCATGAGCCAGTCAGCAGGGATCTACAGCTGGGGTTGAGCCTTACCCCACCTAAAACTGAATCCTGCCCTAAAAAATATCTTACAAGAGCCTGTCCTGTGTCCTTGGTGGGTCTGGGCAAGAGAGTTAGTTGGCTGTATTCATTGTATCCTTCAGTGCTGATGTAAATCAGAGGCTCAGCCAGCTGCAGAACCAGCCAGTTCTGCAGTGACCTTGTTTTGTGTGGCATGAGCTCCCTGAAGGCACAACTTGTCTCTCTTATCAACTAATAGGTCCCTAGCAAAGTGCCTGGTGTGTAGTCAGTGCTCAATAACCATGTGTTGGATGGACAGAGGGATGGACAAATGGATGAATCAACAGATAGAATAGACCCCTTTGCCTTAAGATCCCAAATCTAAGGAGTATTATTATTCTCATCATCATTATTTTATGTGTTCATTTTCTGGATCAAAATATGGTAGGATGATATGAAAGAGCACTAACCTCATCCATCTCATTAATCCGATGCCTTTTGGGGTATTCTATTTGCATCAGCCAAGTACACCTTTACGGTGCCTGAAGACATCCGTGTGGGCAGCCCTCTGGGCTTTCTGTCTGTTCATGACCCAGACGAGCCTCAGAACAGGATGACCAAGTACAGCATCGTGCAAGGCGAATACAGGGACACCTTCACCATCGAGACGGATCCCACCCGCAACGAGGGCATCATCAAGCCCATGAAGGTTTGTGGGTCTGCAGCCACAGCCTCAGACGTAGGGCTCGGGGCTTGCAGTGGCCATAGGATCTACCCTGGGGCTTCTCCTGGGCCAGAGACCATCAAAGGACAATGTTCTGGATCAGCTCAGAACTGGCTATGTGCCCGGGAAGACTGAGACCCAGTGTGTCAGGCAGGATTGCCCCAGAAGCAGACCTGGAGGCAAGGATTTGGGTGTGTGTTGCTTATTCAAAGAAAGTGATCCTAGGAAGCCCTGGGAGCAATTTCAGGTGAAAAGAAGGAAGCTAATACTCAGCTCATTCATGAGCGGGTGGGCAAATGGGGCCCCATCCCATGGAGGGCATCTGGGAGACAGTAAGAGCGCATCTCAGAGTTGCAGCAGGGGATGGGAGTGGGGTATGTATATACCAAGTGTTGACAGAGCACTGCTCTGACACTATCTGTCTTCCCTGTGTGCTGGCCAGTAGAAAGTCATCAGCATGCATGGAAACAATGAGTGCATGAGGACACAGGTGGCCAAGGACAGTATCTGCTGATGTCAGACTATATATGGAAGAGGAGGGAGAGGTCCTGTCAGGGGGCTACAAGTGCCTCCAGAATGGCCATGCAGAGGACTGGGGGTCCTGAGCCTGAGTTCTTCTATGGCCAAGCCCCACACTGGAGATCAGAGACCCAGGGGGAGACAACGAGCCTCCCGGGTCAACAAAGCTCTCAGCAAGTGGGAAAGAAAGACCCACAAACAAAAAAGTACAGCCACTGTATTTATCGCTACACAGCAACAGAAGGCAGAGAGCATTACCAGTTAGGAGGGCTTCTGAGAGGGCCTCTGATTACCTTCTCACAGCTGCTTGAGGGATAACAAGCACAGGGGAAGCCTTTGGAGCAAAGGCTCAAGCCACTAGTCTGTGATCCTCTTAAGAGCAGACTACTTACCAGAAACAGGGCCAGGGTTGGGGGTGTGGCCCTGAGACTGCTGAAATGAGGTACAGAGCAGCTGGAAACAGACACTAGACCTGGCCAGTCTTGATGACCCTAGAAATGTCACTGGTCTGGGCTCTAGTGCCAAACAGTTGTCATTTTAGTCCTACCTTGCAGGATGCTTGGCTCAGAGCGGCGTTAGCATATTTTTCCCTCACGCAGCCCCTGGACTATGAACTCATCCGGCAGTACGTGTTCACCATCGAGGCCACCGATCCCACCATCAACCTCCGATACCTGAGTGGCATCTCGGGCAGCAACAAAGCCCGCGTCATCATCAACATCACAGATGTGGACGAGCCCCCCGTCTTCCAGCAACACTTCTACCACTTCCAGCTGCGGGAAAACCAGAAGAAACCTCTGATCGGCTCCGTGATGGCTGTAGATCCCGATGAGGCCCGGCGTAGCATTGGGTAAGGGGCAGTGGGCGTGTTGATGATGATGACAGTGACAGTCCTAGCACTGATATTCTTGTGGCTGCTGGTTGAGACCAAGAATCAGAGAGGAAAACTGGCTTCCCGCTGCACTAGTATGGGAAGTGGAAGAATCAGGGCCAGTGGCCCAAGCCTTTCCACCAACACCTCTGGCCTGCTGGGCTCTCACCCTCCCAGGCAACCCCATGGTCCAAGCTGTCCTTGCTCTGTCTGATCTCTCTTTGACTTTGAAGGGCCTGTCCTTTGGACCACAAGTCCCACGGGTCCCACCTAAGAGACCCGATAGTAAAAGAGCAGCCAATCAGATAACATACCTGAAGCCCCTTCACCAAACATGTTTTGCTAAATTTGTCTCCCAAAAATGACACAAGTAAAGACATGCTTATTTCACACACTGAAACAGTACAAAGGTCTGTAAAGAAAACTGATAACTCCCACATCCAGACAGCTCATGTTAAGTGGCTTGTAGTTAAGCAGAAGAGAGGGGGACGGGAGCCACAGGGTCGATGAACCCTCTCAGAGCATGTCCCCTGTGATCTGCCTCCTCCAGCCAGGCCCACCTACCTTTCCTTATGATCATACAGATACATAGACAGATTTATACTGAATTTGCTGTTGTTTGTGTTTTTTAAAATTTTTTTGGATGGTGTCATGTCCTGTTCATTGGCACTTTCTGTCTTACCTGGTTTTCTGTTCCTATTACTGAATACCACAGACTTGAGTAATTTATGAAGAATGGAGGTTGGTTCACAGTTCTGGAGATTGAGAAGTTCAAGAACGTGGCATCTGGTGGGGACCTTGCTGCATCATAACATGACAGAGGGCTTTCCTGGCAAGACAGAGCAGGCTTCCAGCCTAGCTCTCTCTTCCTCTTTCTTTAAAGCCACTAATGCCATCATGAGGACCCCACCTTCCTGACCTCATCCAATCCTAATTACTTCCCAAAGTCCTATCTCCAAATGCCATTAACATATGAATTTGGGGATCAGGTTTCCAACACATGAACATGTGGGGAATGTGTTCAAACCAAAGTACTTGCTACTCTATCCTAACTAGATGTCTTTCCTTCACCCTCTGGAACGAGCTATGTGATATTTGATAGTAAGTATGACTTCAGTCCAATCTTATTTTATTCTACCTGGGTGGCCAGCAATGCCAGCACCATTTTTTTTTTAATTTTTTTTTCAAATTTTTTATTGTTGGTTGTTCAAAACATTACATAGTTCTTGACATATCATATTTCACACTTTGATTCAAGTGGGTTATGAACTCCCATTTTTACCCCGTATACAGATTGCAGAATCATATCAGTTACACATCCATTGATTTACATGTTGCCATACTAGTGTCTGTTGTATTCTGCTGCCTTTCCTATCCTCTACTATCCCCCCTCCCCTCCCCTCCCCTCTTCTCTCTCTACCCCCTCTACTGTCATTCATTTCTCCTCCTTGTATTATTTTTCCCTTTCCCCTCACTTCCTCTTGTATGTAATTTTGTATAACCCTGAGGGTCTCCTTCCATTTCCATGCAATTTACCTTCTCTCTCCCTTTCCCTCCCACCTCTCATCCCTGTTTAATGTTAATCTTCTTCTCATGCTCTTCGTCCCTACTCTGTTCCCAGTTACTCTCCTTATATCAAAGAAGACATTTGGCATTTGTTTTTTAGGGATTGGCTAGCTTCACTTAGCATAATCTGCTCTAATGCCATCCATTTCCCTGCAAATTCTATGATTTTGTCATTTTTTAATGCAGAGTAATACTCCATTGTGTATAAATGCCACATTTTTTTTATCCATTCATCTATTGAAGGGCATCTAGGTTGGTTCCACAGTCTTGCTATTGTGAATTGTGCTGCTATGAACATCGATGTAGCAGTGTCCCATTTTTTAATGTCATTATTTCCCCAGCATGCTGGGACACTAAGTTCTTGTGTAGACTTGAATCTCTTTCTGGATTCTCTATAGTTCTTTGGTACTCTGTTTTATTGTGACAGCTTTTGCTAAATTTTAGTATGTGTAAGGCAAGCCTCTCCCCCATTGTTTCTTTTTAGTTTTATACAATTTTTATCTATTCTGAAATGTTCATCCTTCCATATGAACTTTAAAATCCTTTAGCTAGTTTTTAAAAACATTTGAATTCCAATAAGACTTATGTTTATGTATCAGTTTTGGAAAAGCTAATGTTTATTAGGCCTTAGGTATTAGGCCTTCTTATCAAGGATAAAAACATTATCCCTGCATTTCAGTCACATCTCACAAATGTGGGGACGACTTCTTCTTTATTCTATTCCATAGTCTGTAATTACACTTTTTTTTTGCTCCTTGGACCCATAGGTTTATTTAAGACATTGACTTGGATTGTTTTTCTTTTTATTTACAAGTGGTAGGGGTTTTGTTTTTGTTTGTTTGTTTGTTTGTTTTGGACTTGTTTTAGTTTGTTTTGTGATGTAATTGTTTTAGTCAGCTTCAAGTCCCTGTGACCAAAACACCTAACAAGAACAACTTAGAGGAGGAAAAGTTTATTCTGGCTCACTGTTTCAGAGGCTCAGTTCATGATCAGCTGACTCCAAAGCTCTGGGCCTGAAGTGAGACGTGACATCATGGCGGAAGGGTTTGGAGGGGGAAAACAGCTCAGGACATGAGAGCCAGGAAGCAGAAGAGAGGGGGACGGGAGCCACAGGGAAGATGAACCCTTCCAGAGCACATCCCCAGTGATCCACCTCCTCCTGCCCTGCCCACCTACCTACAGTTACCACCCAATCAGTCCATTCAAACTAGGATGAACTGATGAGGTTACAGGTCCCATCATCTACTCATTTCTCCTCTGAATATTCCTGTGTTAACAGAAGCTTTGGGGGGACACCTCATAACCAAACCATAACAACAGTGATAACAATGGTACTTGTGCCCATTTTTTCTAAAACATCAAAGCTTTTGCTTTGCGCCTTTTAATTTTTCTATTCGGCTTACTAAGATTTACAACTGTTTTACCTTCATTATGGCTTGTAACTTCTGTGCTATGAAATTACCCAATTTGTTCTGCTTGAATATTTGGCCTTCGGTTCCATGCTGCCTAATGTTGAGTTTGTTGGTTTGGTTTGTTTTCGTGTTGTTTCTATTGGCCTGATGTAAATTTTCCATCCTTTACTTTTAACTTTTCTAGGTCATTTGACATTAAGTTGTCTCTTGAAAGGAGAATGCACGTGGCTTTGCTCTTTCATCTAAACTGACACACTTTGTGTTCAACCTATTTACGTTTTTTACCATAAGTGATATGTTTGATCTTAATTCTTTTAGTTCTTGTTTAACACTTCCCATTTCTCAAATGTAATGGTGTTGTTTCTTGTCCTTCATCCTTGCTATAAACCTATTTATCTCCCCCTCCTAGATATTTGGGTGGAATATATCCATTTTTTACTTCTACCTATCAGATTCACTTCTATGTATAAAATTTTAAATGTTTTCCTGGATTTATATTTTCTAGTTAAAACACTACACACACAACACACACACACACACACACACACACACACACAAACACACCATTGCATTCCTATGTATGATAAAGAAATCAACAGCTTTATTCTAATTCCTCCTAAGCCAGGTTTTTACTTCCTATTGAGACATTTCTTAGAGTAAGTTTTCAAAAACAAATTTCAGGACCCATTATTGTGGGTGATACATTTCCTAAGTTCTTGCATATTTACAGAAAAACTTATGGGTTTTTTTTCCTTCTTATTTTAATATCATCTGGGTATGCTTATATAATCCTCAGATAATAAACACTTTCCTTCAAAAAGACTATCAGTGTTTTCTCCCACTTAATTTTATGGGGGCATCCGGGGTGAGTCTTATTTCTCTTTATTAATAAGGAATTCATTTTTTTCCTGAGAGTCTGTCCTCTTTTTCAAAGTTTCTTCACACAGCCTTGAAATTCAAAAGTCCCATCAAGATATGCCTAATTAAACACGCCTGATATCAATGGCATCTATTAATCTATGGTCTCCAGTTTTTCCTTAGATCAGGAAAGTTTTCTTTTATTATATTTTTGTTATTTCTTCTGTTCCATCTGTTCTGGAATCTTTCTCAGTCATAGCAACTATTTTTATACATATGATATGTATATTGACATATATATATACATGTAAACACACATACACACATTTTCATAACTTTCTAACTTCCTGATTTCTGGGAGAACTTTTCCATTTTTTATTTCACAAATTTTATCTTCTTTGCTACTTCTTATCTCTTTCAGCTCCTTTTCTATTTTTTCCTGACTCTTTCCCTCCTATCTTTTCATTGATCACACACACAAAAGAAGCCGTTTTGTGATCTGGTTGATTAGAGTGTCACCTGCTCAGCTATAGAGGGCTACTGATAGTCTCAGGTACCCCTTTCATTCCAGAGCCAGCACCCTTCAGATCAGACATGGTCTCACTCCCCTGAATCCCTCTAAGTTGTATGCTCATGCTCTGGGTGGTAGAAAACAACCAGAACTGTGAGAGAGGGGGATGGAGAAGGATGTAGGGATAGCTTCTGAAGGGCCTCGTCTGTCATGCTGAGGAAAAAAAATGCTCATCAAAAAAATAATGGAGGGCTGTGACTCAGCGGTAGCACACTTGCCTGGCATATGTGAGGCACTGGGTTCAATTCTCAGCACCATGTATAAATAAATAAAATAAGGGTCTATCAACAACTAAAAAATATATTTAAAAAAAAATAATGGAAAGCCATGAAACTCTTTCCCCTGGACAGATATGCCATCCGCAGGACCAGTGACAAAGGCCAATTCTTCCGCATAACCAAACAGGGGCACATTTTCAATGAGAAAGAAGTGGACAGAGAAACCTACCCCTGGTATAACCTGACTGTGGAGGCCAAAGAACTGGATTCTAGTGGTGAGTGTCCCCATCTCCAGAGGCTTCCCCCAGCCCCGGGCTCTTCTCTTTTTCCCTTGTTCTTTCAAAGCTGGTATCATCTGTCATTTGAGGTCTGTAGAGGTGTTACAAACTCCTTGCAAAGCATCCCTGGCTGGGATGCTATCAAGCTTCCATGCCTTAGTGTGGTCCTCGGGCCAGCTGTATCGATGTCACCTGAGACCTTGCTGGCAGTGCAGAATCTCGAGCCTCACCCCAGACTGAATCAGAATCTCATGTGTGCAACAGAGTTTGAGAAGCACTGTTATAAAAACAGGCTAAGTAGATGTCTCAGTGATGAGCATCACCTGCTAAACATAGAGTTTCCCGGACTCCCCTCTCGATGTTCTGGAGCAGTGATCAGAGACTGAGCCAAGGATGAGCATGTAACAAGAACCACGTGATTTTTCTCATCAAAGACATTTGGTAAACTCTTTTTTTGTAGGGGAGGGGAACAGTATTAGCACCAGTTAATGGGTTTAATTCAAAACCTGAAGCAGTTTTCAACTCAAGATTGTTAGATTCTCCAAAAACTGTATAACTTCTGACAAATGGAGGTTCAGCATGACCTATATGAGAAAATCACAACCACCCTCAAGGGGAAGGATAGATATTCCCGCTAAACCCAGGTCCCCCTGGTCCCAATAATATAATAATAATATTATATTATTCAAATAATAATTGTTATTTGAATAATAACAATTACTTATTAAATTACAGGATTTTAATGAATTATGTTTCTTACTCTATTTTAATGAATTATGTTTCTTACTCTAATTATTTTGATGAATTATGTTACTTACTCTAATTATTAATTTTGTTGTTGAAACTTTTTTTAGAGGCACTTAGGTTGCTTACCTTTTTGATTTTTTATAAGTAATACTTCAGCGAACTTCCTCTTGTGCAAAGAGTTACCGGCCACCTCCTCCACACTTCCTCCATCCAGAATGCTACCCCTGGCCTCTCCTCTAGAGGCCTATGGAGCCTCTTCCTGGAAAAGAGTGGCTTCCACTCTTTTTCCATCCCCCAGGGGTTGGCATCAGCTGAGCCCACTCTGGTGACCAATCCTCTCCCCTGCAGGGATCCCCACAGGTAAAGAATCCATTGTGCAGGTCCACATTGAAGTTTTAGATGAGAATGACAACGCTCCGATGTTCGCCCAGCCCTATGAGCCCAAAGTGTGTGAGAATGTGGCGGCCGGCAAGGTGAGTCTGGGTTGGGCGGAGGGTGAGGCAGTGCCCCCTGGAGGCAGGCTGAGGGGCAGACAGCCAGCTGCAGTTCCACTGAGTTTCCTGCACTTTGTATCAAAGTAATACCATCCCCATTTTCCAAATGAGAAACTGAGCCTCAGACAATATCTGAAGTGTAGATGAAGAGCCGGGGTCAGGGGTCAAAGACAGTGGAGGAAAGAGTGGCTTTGTGGAGACCACGTAGGTCAGGGTTGCAGGTGAGAGGCAGCCATGCTCAGGTCTAAACCCAAAGTCTCCATGCCTGAACCCCAGACCACTCCAAAACCACACTGACCATCCCCCATCTCCCATACTCCAGCTGGTTGTGCAGATCTCTGCAATAGACAAGGACATAACTCCACGGAACGTCAAGTTCAAATATGCCCTGAGTACTGAGGACAGCAACTTCACCCTCACGGATAATCATGGTGAGCAACACAGCAATCAGCAGGCTTGTGACAGGGTCCAGAATGGGGTTACTTGAGTCTTGAGGCACCAGAATCGAGGACTAAGCCAGAAAGTGGGGGCAGTCCCCCACATGGATTTTTATGTTACAGGACATTTTGTACAATTTCCACTATATAAATCATACAGTGGTCAGAGCCAACTTGACCAAACTGCCACATCCACATAGTTTGCCATTCCCCTCTAAGATGCTCTGATCAAGAGGAGTACAGAATAGAGAAGGGGGTGCAGGCAGCTAGGTCCATTCACGAATGAGTCAAATAATCGCTCTCCACGTGGGGGGGTCTCTGTGCCTCAGAAAGATTTCAAATCGCTCTACCACGTGGAGCTTTGAGATCTCTCCCAAACAGTCAAAACTGTGAAGCTTTCAATCCCAAGAATATCATGAATTTTGTTTTAATTCAGCTACAATGACTACTTACCATCAGGTGGCCCCTAAACAGGATCTGGTCCACCAATCACAGCACAGCACAGCACATCTGACCCACCAATCAAAACCCAAAAGTCAGCCACTATGAGGTCAGTAGTGGCTGATCAGAGCTTCTGATGGATGTGCACTTACTGCAACGTTGATGCTGAGTTGACTTAATTCTAGTCAAAAGTGCAAAGGTTTTCATGGCCTTATCTGCAACTTCCTCAGAAAAAAAATAGAGGAAATCCTCCTAAGTTTTAAATAAAGCAATCCTTCACCCAGGATCTTCAGGGGAGGTGACCTCTGCCATTCCTTATTGACAAGCCTGTGAGGACCCCTATATTGAAACAGCCCACTGACATCCCCTGTCAGTGAGGAGCAGACCCAGGGATCAGCCACAGACCTGTCTTAAGAAGCCTCCTGTGGGATGAGAAGGGGATTATGTGTTGACAATTAATGACAGACCATTCAACACTTTGCTCTCTTTCACAAAAAGTAATGTGGCAAAAATACCATTCCTAATGTCTACCTGAAATGCACCTGGGCAGGGCCTGCCATGGGGTAGAAGCTTAAATGCCACCCTAAAGACACATGCAACCAGAAGGTAAGATTCTGTGTATCTCAGATTCAGTTACACATGAATATCCTATATGTCAAATATCCCTCATTTCTCCCACAAAGTGCCAATGGCATATCATTTATTTTTTATTTAGACTTAAGACTTCAATGTAATTATGAATAATGAAATGTAATTGCCTTGCATTTGAAAAGCCTTGACTTTCAACTGGTTTCCTGAGCATGTCCACCCTGTTTGATTTAGTAAACCCTCTGACCATTGGCATCACACTTGCCAGGAACCAGAGAGAGTGAGAGAGAGAGAGAGAGAGAGAGAATGAGAGTGAATGTGTGTGTGTGTGTGTGTGTGTGTGTGTGTGTGTGTGTAAGCTCCCTGGGAGATTCTTATGTACAGGAAACCAGTGGAGCTGGGAGGGGAAGCCAATATTTAGACAAAGCATATTCCTAATTGTAAACTGGCCTGAGAACCCTCAATGGCAAATGCAATCATCCTCTCACTGCTGGGGATCAGGATATCATTTTTGCTATTGTAAATCTCCTCTATAACAAAGGATTCTCTAAGATGGCAGACACAGGTCTAGGAGTAAGCCCAATGCTAAAAGGCTTTTTAAAACTTTACTTTCCTGATTGCTGTGGAAGCCTGAAGCAATACAGTAATTAGTTGAGCCAAAGAGAAAGTCCCCTGCTCTTGGAAAAGGGGTTGGAGATAAAGAAGGAGACTGGCACATCAGTTGCCCACAGGATTTTAAATTCCAGATGAACCACTCTTCTCAGTTTGGACCATGCAACTGCCTAAAATATCCTCTCTAGGAAGGAACAGGCCTGTGCTCCAATGACTGGAAATGAGACAGGGAGACACTGGGCAGAGGAGCAGCCCAGGCAGCAGGGGGCTAGTGCAGTTGAGGAGGGCTCCCATGTTCCATCATGCAAGCGGTGGACTCTCCTAGAAACAGCCTCATTCTATCACCTTGGTGTTTCCAGATAACACAGCCAATGTTACAGTCAAGTATGGACAGTTTGACCGGGAACGTGCCAAGGTGCATTACCTGCCCATACTTATCTCGGACAATGGGAACCCGAGCCTGACCAGCACCAACATGCTGACCATAGCCGTGTGCAAGTGCAACGAGTGGGGAGAGTTCACCTTCTGTGAGGAGGCGGCCGCCCAGATGGGTGTCAGCATCCAGGCGCTGGTAGCCATCTTCCTCTGCATCCTCACCATCACAGGTCAGTGCCCAGGGCGTGGGGAGGAAACACTGAGGGGGCTTCACAGAAGCCAGGGATCCGGGCTCAGTGCTGTATCCAACCCACAAGGAAGCCTGGGCCAGTGCACCACCCTGGGCCTCAAATTTCCATGTGCAGAATACAGGGATGCTGAGTTCCACCCACCTGGGTACTAAGGACAGCACAAGGAAGAGGGGAGGATGGGGCAGGGCTCAAGACCCCTCCCCACTCTTCAAGCCAACTCCTTTTCAAAGTATCTTGGACCTGGATGGAGCTCAGTGGTAGGGCACTTGCCTAGCATGTGTGAGGCCCCAGGTTCAATCCCCGGCACCAAAAAATACATAAAAATAAAAATCTCTATTTGCACATTCACTCATTCAACATATACATTTTGAGCACTTATTGTGTGCCAAGCACTGTTCTTGGAATTTATTTACTTAAACCTATTTTAATTTTAAAAAAAAAAATTAAAAAGTTCTAAAATGGAACATTTGAAAACCTCCAGATTGTCACTGTAGATTTTCTTTGCTTTTATAGAATTTCTCCTCGAACTTTGATATTTATTTGTTTTTTGTTTTTGGTTATGGTTTTTTGGTTTTTGTTTTTGTTTTTTGTTTTCTGGTTTTGGTTTTTTTGTTTTGTTTTGTTTTTTGTTTTTTTGGTTTGGGCTTCATAAGTTTTAGGAGTTTGCCTTAGTTTGGGTTCCCCAGAACCAGGAAGCAAACCCTGGGCCAAGGATTTGGGGGCAAGTAGTTTATTTGGAGATCTCTTAAACAGGAGGGGGACTGGAGTAGAAAGGAAGACAGCCATAAAGGACCAGTTGTCACAGAAATTACCCAAGGCCATAAGCTTTGTCCCATTGAAGGAATAGAAAGCAGCATGGAGTTCCCTTAGCATCCTTCCACAGGAGATGGGGAAAGTAATGCCAGTCACTGAGGGCTCCTCCCAAGGGGATAAATTCTCCTATACTTCACCTGCCGTCAGATGAGCCCAGGATCAGTCCTACAAGAAGCCAATGGGGAATCAGGTCAGCTTTGCACCACAGTGACAAGGACTAGGATGCTGTGGGGCACCATGGTATATGCTTCAGGCCTTTCCTGATAGTGGCTCCCCTGGGTGTGCCCCACCCCTGGCTTCCATGATACAGAGTCCAGACCCAGAATCCCCCTCAAATAATGCTTAATAATAAGAACAAAATGGCATTGCCACCACCTATAAAATTGCATTCAGCCTCATAACCACCCTCCCCAAATATAAGCAGAGCAGGAAAAAAAAATCATCATTTCCATTTTACAGACAAGAAAACTGAGACTCTGGGAGATGTCTCCCAGGGCATCCAACTTTCCTTATATATAGAAGAGCTTGTGAAGTAACTCAAGGGGAGCAGGACAGAGCCCAGGGTGATGACCTGAGCCTAATTTTAGGAACTCTCTGTACCACATGGTCCACCCCCTTTTCAGGGATCTTAGACACTGATAAGCCACACCCCTCAGAGTTTCCACCAGGGTGGAGATCCACAGGACTTTAGGTGAGTCGCTCAGCCTCCATGAGATCAGTTTTCTTGACTATAAAATAGAAATAGAAATAGAAAAACTATAAAATAGAAATAGTGAGATCATATGAGAATGTGCCCAATATAGTCCCAAGCATGTATACAGTAGGTGCTCGATAGAGTGGTGGCTACTGTGCAATGAGTATCACGTCCGCCAGCACCACCATTATCCATTATCATCATCACAGGCTCAACAAAATAATGACTCAGAATTCAAAATTCCAACTCTTTCCCCACTTCTGCCCCAACCTCCTGGCCTTTTGGAGATGACATGGAAATATTTGCCACCCAGGTATGAAGAGATAGGAAATGAGGATGCAGGTAAAAAGGACTGAGACAGGCAGAAGAGAATGAACAGGCTTCCTGCTCTGTTCACACCACACCACCCACCGCCCTGTCAAGAGCATGGGGGAGGGAAGATGACTATCCCGTGGGGTGGGGTGGACCCCCCTGGTGCCTGGACCCATCCAAACCTACATTGGCCCAGCCCTGGAGGTATCCCTGGGAGTCTAGGCTGGCCTTGGAATCTGCAGCGAGGCAGGGAGGAGCAGGTGAGTGGGGTGGGGACACCGGGCGCTGAGTCTGGTCTGACGGCCCTTCGCTCTTCTTGCTGGCTGGCAGTGATCACCCTGCTCATCTTCCTGCGGAGGCGGCTCCGGAAGCAGGCCCGTGCTCACGGTAAGAGCGTGCCAGAGATCCACGAGCAGCTGGTGACTTACGACGAAGAGGGCGGCGGCGAGATGGACACCACCAGCTATGACGTGTCAGTGCTGAACTCCGTGCGCCACGGCGGGACCAAGCCCCCACGGCCCGCGCTGGACGCCCAGCCCGCCGTCTACACCCAGGTGCAGAAGCCACCGCGGCTGGCGCCCGGGGGACACGGCGGGCCCGGGGAGATGGCCACCATGATCGAGGTGAAGAAGGACGAGGCAGACCAGGATGGAGGCGGGCCCCCCTACGACACACTGCACATCTATGGCTATGAGGGCTCCGAGTCCATCGCGGAGTCGCTCAGCTCCCTGGGCACTGATTCCTCTGACTCAGATATTGATTACGACTTCCTCAATGACTGGGGTCCCAGGTTCAAGATGCTAGCGGAGCTATACGGCTCCGACCCCCGGGAGGAGCTGGTGTATTAGAGGTCATAGCCCTCTGGTCCTGGGGACCCAAACCCACTGCAGCCCAGGCCGTTCAGACACCAGGCACTAAGCCTTCCAAGTGTGGCACTGACTTTCCAGTCCAGCACCCTCTCTGGTGGGCACCAAAGACCTCACCATCCCCAGGGTAGCAAACTCCAGGTCTCTGAAATATCTAGGAGCATATTTCAGTGATGGCTACCCCCAAATGCTGGGAAAGTCAGTTCTGGGCTTGGCACCCAGACCACACATCTAATCCAAAGACTTACTCTGGCTCTGCAAAGCTGCCAAGCAAAGCATATCGTGCTCAATAGCTGGGAGGTCTTCCCCAGAGGTCCCGGGGGAAGTGGGCTGGTGAGATCCTGGTGACTGTCTGCCTGGTGACAGGGCTGGATGGCATGACCTGTGGGATAAGACTCTCTGCAGCCCTGTTCCAAAGGAGACTAAGCCTGTCCATCATGCCTGCCCTCACAGCCTGCCTGCTGTGACTCCCTCATGCCTTCTCAGTGCCCCACCATTCCCCAGCCCCTCCCCAAGCCTGACAAGAGGAAAGAAGGGGCCACCTGGCAGCTCCTGACCTTGGGTTGAGGTGACCTCACTGGCCTGCCACTCCAGTAACTGTGCTGTACAGAGCATTGACCCGGTCAGCCAAATTCAGGGAAGTGGCTTGTTGAACCTGAAGCAACTGTGAATTCATCCCGGAGAGACAGTGAAGACTAAGATTGACAGATCATAGGGTGAGGGCCACCTCCATTTACCCACCATCTCTGGAGGGCCTCTGGTGTAGGTGATACCCCAACTTGACACTCATCCACACCCACCCAGGCTTGCCCGTGAGAGGGCAGATGTTTCTGGAGCATATGAGCCCTCCCTGTCACTGCCTCAACAGGTCACTCGAGTTCCCCCTTTATTTTCTCCATCTACTTATCTCTTGATTTAGAGGCAACCAAGATGTGGCCCTCAACAAGTCTGGCCAATGTCCAAACCCAAATGTGAGTGTATGACAGAGCCATGCCATTTGCCTTTACGCTTCGTGGTTGCCACATCTCAGGGAACTGACCCCCAGGCACACCCTGCGGAAGGCGAGGCCCCTGCCCTGCCCAAGCTTGGCAGCACCTGTGCATTGCCCACTTTAAGCTGCATGTGGAACTTTTCACTTTCACTTCACTTGTGGAAGTGGCGTTCAGATGAGGAGAGGGACAAGGGAGGACACAAGCTCTCCGGCCCACCCTTCATCACAGATCAAGCCGCCTTCCCCTGCAAGGGCCCTCACACTGCCAGGCACTGTAGGTAACACTGACAACTTTTTAAACCAATGATTAATTTTTCATAATTATTTTACTAATAATACTTACAAGTTCGTAGCCCTCACAAACATATAGAATAGGGTTGTTGCATAATAAGCAGGTCGCTATTTAGGTTAATAAGTTTAATTCAGGATTTTTAGTTGAGTAAACAATTCTTGTAACCTTGTATTTTCTGTAATTGTAGTAATTGCTCTACAGATAATGACTATATATTGGCCACACTGGTGAATGAGACGTACTGTATTTTTTTTTATACCTAAATAAAGAAAAATCTTGAATTTCTTCTATTTCTAAAGCTGGGAGAGCTCATGTGAAACAAATACACGTGTGTATACACACACGTATATGAACACATGGACACATACATATACACGGGTACACATACAACTGCCACCGACATTATCAAATGAACCCAGTGGGAAAGGGAACATTCAAATCACCAAGAAAATGGATTGCAACAGAAAATAACAAGGGACACTGAGTCCAGCCTTCTCTCTGCCCAGCATCCTCCCATACTCCCTATGCACACCCCAGCCCTCCTGCTCACAGTCTACGCTGAAGGCAGGGCCTCAGGTACCTGGGGCTGCAACACCACTTGCAATTGGCAAATAGGGCAGGGCCTTTCCTTAGCACACACACAGTCCTACACATATATGGACTTCTAGAGTCCTGAGAATATGCCAAAGTTTTCAAAACCCTCCATGGACAGCTCATTCCTCAACTTTTCCTTTTAAATTTTTTGGTCAGCTCCTTGTTCGCCCAGCTGCTATCCCTGACTAGACATAGCCGCTTTGTTAAGCAGTCACTACTGATTGTTTTCAACAAATGCCCAAAGAGAAAAGGCTGTTTGCATCAAGTGAGCTTCAAATCAGAAGCGCCCAGGCCCTAAGTCACCTCCGAATGAGACAGTGCCTGTCATTTCCAACCCTCCAGTGGGGCCTGGCTCTGAGTTCTTGGCCACTCCATCCATCTCCTCTGTTTGGCTCCTGTTTAACCAGAGGCAGGAGGAGAGATCCTCATGGAGGCTGAGGGCCCACCCTGAGTCTGGAGGCTTTAGCCAGCACCATGGCAGAGCCCAAACCCAGTGCTCTCTAGGATCTTCCTCACATGCATGCTCAAACCATTCCGGGGTTCCCAGGCTGATCAAAATGGGCAAAGAGGAATGGCAGCTAGAATCCTTCCCCACCCCAGGCCAAATCTATAAGGCAGACAGGACTTTTTCTATTTCACAGATGACCAAAATGAGATCCAGAGATGGGTGTGATGTGGCCAGAACCACCCTGTAAGTTAGAGTAGAGTTCGGGCTGGATCTGGCCTCCTGGCTTCCCCAGACCTGGGAGCTGGAGGCTGGACCAGTATTCACCCTCCGAACACGGCGCACTTATCATGGGGAAATGACCACTAGGGGGCAAGCTGTGTCCACAAATGCTCAACCCTGAACCACATCGCCAACCCTCCCCTTCGGCTCCAGAGTCACCTCCTACTCATCCCGCAGCAGCGTGCCGGGACATATTGACAGACTGCAGGCTCTAGGGGTCCTGGACATTGACAGACAACCCGGATCAGAGAGGTGGCCGCGGAGTCCAACAGCCCAACCCGCCTAGGCTCCGGTTCTTCTCCTCCTTGGTGCCAGGTTCTAACTGGGGAGAGACAGGCAGGACCTAGTCACCCATCCCTCTCCAGAGGATGGGGCACTGAGGTCTCCTGCAGCTAACACGGAGAATTTCAAGTCACAGGAGTAACGGGCCCAGGACGCTGGGACCTTGGGCTTGTGATAGTCCCAGCCCACCCCCATCATCCCTCCCCGCCCCAGGGGCCCTTGCCTCGGTGTCCACATCCAACTCTACTGTTCTGTCCCTCTGGGGTGTCCCAAGCCGGTCCTGGAGGATCGACTCTGGGCTAGAAACAGCTGAAGTCCCTACCTGTCTCAGTTCTAGGAACCTCCCAGGTCAAGAATCCTTATGTTAAATCCCACTGTCCTAGAGGTGACCCACTGAATTTCTGATCCTCACAACCCAATTCCAGGCTGCCTAGCAATCCCCCTTCTAAGGATTAGCCTCAGAGGCTAGCACAAGCTGTATCTGCCTCTAGGCTAAGTTCAGTATTACTCACAAAGCAAAAAACTGGAAACAATGTCAATGTCCCACAATAAAAGATTAGTTAGGTAAATTATGGCAAAGTCATAAAACAGTGCTGGGCAGCCATTAAACATCATGTTGTGACATGATCACCTTGAACTGAATTCAAGGTAAAGCAAAAAAAAAAAAAGTGAAGCAAAACCTAATACATTATTTACAGTCAGATCCCAATAATTTTCTTTTTCTAGTAGATATGTACCTCTAGGATATGAAATTGTGAATAATTTTTCTTTTCCTTCTTATTTGCATTTCCAAGTTTTCTATGATCTGCATGTAATTTTATGATCAGAGAAGTTATTTTAACATCATGTTACGATTTGTATGTGAGGTGTCCCCCAAGAGCTCATGTGTGAAACAATGTAAGAAGGAGAAATGATTGGGTCATGGGAGCATTAACCTAATCAGTGAATCAATCACCTGAAGGGATTAACTGGATGGTGGGGTGTGCTTACTGAAGGCAGGTAGGGTGTGGCTGAAGGAGGAGGGTCATTATGGGCGTGCCTTTTAAGTATGTATTTTGTATCTGATATGTGGAGTCAGTATCTCTCTCTCTCTCTCTCTCTCTCTCTCTCTCTCCTGATCTCATGTGAGCTGCTTCCCTCCACCCCACTCTTCTACCAGGAAGTTTTGCCTCACCTTGAGCCCCAAGAAATGGAGCTGGATGGCTACGGACTGAGACTTCTGAAACCATGAGCCCCCAAATAAATTTTTGCTCCTTAAAGTTGTCAGGTTTTAGTCACAGTAGTGAAAAAGCTGACTAAAACACATTCATTTTAAGTATGCTTGCAATTGAAAAACAGTGAATTGATAAGCAAAGTTTGTCCCTAGTTTACATTTTTAATATTGAAAGTTTTGTCTTAAAATGTTTTGAGTTCACTGATAATGTAACAAAGCCTTTATTAAGTTAACTAAATTGTTTATGAAGTTGTTACTTTGGAACCAGAAAAACTGTTGATGGAGAGAACTTAGAACTTAAGAGAACTTAGTCTGTAGGATCAAAATCTCTTAGCCTTTGTATTTTAGGGGGTTGGTTGGTTGGTTTTTGAGACAGGATCTAGTTGAGTTGCTGAGTATGCCCTCGAACTCACAATCCTCCTGCCTCAGCTTCCCAAGTCACTAGGATTTCAGGCAAGCGCCACAGTGCCCAGTCCCTTTAGAGTTCTTTAACCTCAAAATTTCCACTCATTTTCTGGATCTATGGGATCAGGGAAAGCTGGTTTTCCAGGCAGATGATCCTCCACAGATTCTGCAATGCATAGAAATGCCTAATGTTCCTCTGTCTCAAGGCCATAAGAGAAACAGCTAAGACCAATTTCTTTCAGCTCATCAGAGGTCATTTGGGATGTCTGGAAAATTTGGGAATCCACCAACACTCAGAGACTTGCAGGACTTTGCAGTGTGCTTTTATAGCTTAGAGTATAGGATGTGCAGTTTATTTATGATGTTCCTGAGTGATGGTTGCTGGGGGATGTTCAATGATGTTACACGGGAGCTGTGCTGAGCAAGGGGGCAGGAAGTGAATCTACCAAGCAAACCAAACTCTACTTCTGAACTCAAA